GGGGGGGGGGTGGCTTTTACCCCATGGGTGTCCCAGGGCTGGTGGCATCTCTTATTGGTACCCTGCTGGGGGTGGCACAGCCTTGGGATGCCCGGGGGGAGCTGGAGGTGGGGAAGTGGGAGCAGAGTCCATGGTGAAGGGGATGGCACAGCCAGAGCTGCACCGTCCTGGTGTCTGTCCACCGTCCTGGCGTCTGTCCACTGTCCCCATGTCTGTCTGTCCACCACCTGGGAGGGTTTCCATGGCCCTGCCAGACCCCGGCTCTATAAATAGCTGCGGGGATGTGGAGGGGGAGAGAAAGTGCTCGTTAGCCTGATGCCTTGTCGAGAGAAACTAATTATCCTCTCTTCTCACAGCCCCCCTACGGAGGAGGCGCAGGCAACCGCAGAGCCCCAGGTCAGTGCCTGGTGGGGGGGTTGAGCCAGCACGGCAGAGCCTGCAGCCGGTACCTGACGCCCCAGTGATGGGCTCACTCACCCTGACTGCCGTGGCCCCGGGGCCACAGTGTCACCCCAAAAAGGTGCTGCCGTTGGGGCCAGCCTTGTGCGTGGTCTTGCAAAGTATGATCCTGAACCTTGTGGCGTGGGGAGTGATGGGAGGGATGTCCCACGGGATGTCGCCCACCCTGTCCCCAGGCACCCAGAGGGGCTGGACTGAGGGGAGCAGACCGGGGAGAGGAGGGTGCCCATTTTCACCCTTTCCCCTCTGTGCCACCTCGCAGCCCAGCCCCACAGCCCCAGCTCTGGAGGAGACCCCAGTGTCACAGCCCCTGTGGCAGGGTGACATCCCAGCCAGGGAGCAGGATGTCCCAGCCCAGCCAGGTAATCATAATGGGTGGTGGTGGGGGGGTCAGTGCCGTCAAGATTTGGGGAGGTTGGAGCCCCCCAGCACTGCTTACCAGCATCCTCCCAGCCCCCATCCCTCGCTTGCCTTCTCACTCCTCTTGCCAAAAAAAAAAGGGACACCCTCCCCCCATCCATCCCTGCTGTGGTCAGACCCCCCACCCACACTGCACCCTTGCAGGTGACACAGTAGGTGGGAACCCCTTTGGCACGTCCAGCGCGGAGGAAGACGAGGAGGAGCCCGACTCTGCATGCAGTGGCCCTGATGCTGGGCAGGTGGGACTGGGGGGGGCTGTATGGGGCTGGAGGCAGTTGGGGGGGCTGGAGGGGGCTATATAG